GTTTGGAAGAAATTCCTTTCCAAAAAGAAGTGTTGTAAGGTTAAATTCCATGCATAAAATCTTTGGAGCGCGAGTACAAAATCTGTCTAGATTTCGAACTTGAATTTCGTATATTTAGAGGTTGAATTATGAAAATTTTAGAAAATACACTTTTGTAGCCCTTGAAGTCTTCTTTTTAATCCCCAAAAATCAAGTAAATCGGATATCATAGTCAAAAGTTATGACCAAAATACTGAAGACGTGTCAAATCTTTATCTTCTAGGATATTTTCTTAATCCAACTCTAAATGAGTTTTCTTCCAACTTGGACTCTTATAAGGATTAAATTGTTGTCATATCTTCAAGTCTTCCAATCTCAATCTTGACTCTTCAATATTTATTAGTTATCATTCTTCCTCTAATGATTGTTTCACTTACATTATTCATTATTACTTTAAATCAACCAATTTACCTGTAAAATAAACCAAACAACTAGAAAAAAGTATCAAACTAGAAAATCAAGGAATTTAACACATTTAATCATAAATAATATGTAATTAATCAATCATTAAATACAATAAAATAGAAATTTTGATGGTTAATCAGATAACTCTGTAGTGATATTGACCAATAGCTCTGGCTCCTGTGGTAATGGAAAATCAAAGAGAGTGTCATCAACTGGAGGGACAGACACAGGACTGAAAGAAAAATAAGGAATATGCTCAAGAAATATAACATTTAGACTGTGATACATACGGCGCCTAATAGGATCACAACACCGATATCCCTTAGATAGATGACAATAACCCACAAAGACACAACGAGTCGTTTTATCATCAACCATATAGCGAGTAAGAGACCGATCCTGAACAAAACATGTGCATCCAAAAACACGAGGGGGGATCAGAAAAAAGTGTCTACTCAGGGAATAAGACCTATAAGGGAGCCCTATGCTGAAGAACATTACTCGGTGTACAATTGCACAGAAAGGTAGAAGTCAAAATAGCAAAATACCAATAAGATTTTGGTACCCTCATACCTTTAAACATACAACGTACTATCCTTATCAGACTTCTATTTTTTCCTTTCAACAACACCATTTTGCTTAGGAGTATATGGACAAGTAAGTTGCTGAAGAATACCCTGAGAAAAAAGGTGGCACTAAGGCATCAGACACATATTCTTTGGCATTATCTAAACAAAGAGCACGAACAATGACATCGAATTATATCTTAATCATCTAGAGAAACTAAGTGATTATAGGGAGTACATCGGACTTTCTATGCAAAAGGTAGACCCAAGTACAACGGATATGGTCATCTATAAATGTCATAGTATCGAGCACCTGACAGAGCAGTAATAGGAGAAGATCCCCAAATATCATAGTGTATTAGGTCAAATGACTTGGGTGACTGGTGTATGCGGGGAATATAACTGGTCCTAACATATTTTGATAGGAAACATAAAACACAATCAAGTTTATCACTCACACAAGCATTGCTCAAAGCAAGAAACAACATACAGAAATATTTAAAATTTGTATGTCTAAAACGGTCATGCCACAACTGAACAGTTTGCGACGAAAAATCATAACGACAACTACTAGGTAAAATACTAGCATGAAAGCTAGGAACAGAAAAAAATAAAGCAGGTGTAGGTAATGGAGGTGGAAAAACTGGTGAAACTGGAGGTGGATCGCTTAGATAATATAGTCCATCTCTCTAATATTCCCTGATAATAATCCTCCTGGTACTCAAGTCCTACAAATAACACGAATCAGATAAGAACACAACTGCATAATGAAAATCTCAAGCTAACTGATGTACATATAATAGATTCATTGCCAATTTTGGCGCATGAAAACTAAACATAATATAAGTCATCTGGAAGGCGGACTATGCCCCTACTAACAATAGGGGCATGTGTCTCATCTACTAGCTGAACTTGTGAATGTAACTGCTCGTCAAAAGTAGTGAAGTGATGGGCCTCACCTGTCATATGATCATTTTTACCCAAGTCTAGCATCCAAAGGGAAGACGGACTGACACAAACTTGAAAGGCACGAGGTATACTTGTAGTGGTGACAGCAGCAATAGTCGAACTCTAAGAAGTCAAAGCGGACATAAGTATATTCAATCAGGAAGTGATAGCATTCATATCACTCTGTCAAGGAGGAGCAGTAGTATATGGAGGTACCTCAGCAATAGCAGCAGTACAATTGCGAGGAGACTGCTTAAGCTCTGGATGGAGTTTCCTGCAAGCAGCCCTGAGATGTCTTGGTTGGCCATAATAATCACACTCACGAGAATCCCCCTGTCAGCACTAATCTGGGGCACCATGACGGCGCTGATTCAAGCGTTGCTCACCCCTAATTGAGGATTCTGAACGAGACCCTGCAGCAGCTGCAAGGTTCATATAATCAGCCGGAGGAGTTAAGGCCACAACTGAAAGTGATGCAATACGGATGCGACGCTCATTCTACTCAATCATCACATACCCCTCATAAAGAGAATGAAGCATCAACATCAACAAGATCTGGGAACGAGGTTCCTCAAACTCATCACAAAGCCTCATAAGGAACTTATGAATCCTATCCTCCTGCTCTCGACTATGCAAAAATGCTACTCCCTTGGGCTCTATCCTTGAAATAGTAGCAAGAGGACATAGAGTCTCATACTCAAGTCAGCGCTAGGTCAAATAGTCATAATAATCCTGAATGGTCATATCTCCCTACCGAGCATATAAAAGCTTCTAAGAAAGCTCATAAACACGAACTTCCTATCCTAACTGGAAATATATTTTTGATAGTACGCTCCATAGCTTCGGAATTGAGCTATGAAACTAATGAATCCTGCAAACAGGTGGCTCCATCGAGCTAAATAACCATTCAAGAATGGCATAGTTCTCCGAGAACCACGGAGAATATCCAGGGTCGGCATCAGCTGACTTTGGGCAAAATCCCCTCNACATAGTTTTCCGAGAACCACGGAGAATATCCAGGGTCGACATCAGCTGACTTTGGGCAAAATCCCCTCAGTCAACCAAGCTTCCCTACACGGCCTAAGAAAAACTGGAATGAGCGAGACCACTCAACGAAGTTACGACCATTCAACAACTGTGTCGTAACTGTTTGAGAGATCATACCCGACAATGCTGGTAATGCAACTGTGCCAGTAGGTACCGTACACTGGTCAAACATAAAAGTGGAAGTATCAATAGATGTTTCAACGGTAGAGATGTCAACAATAAGGGTCTTAAATCCCTCAGTAGTCGTCATATTAACAACAATACTAGGGCACTCGTGACAGAAAAACAACTCTAAGATAAATATGGGAAAATCCAATATTTAATTTTCGACGTTTAACTTAAACGCCACTAAAATCGGCATTTGTTTATAGACACCACAAATTATTAATAAAAATAAAATTTTTTTTGCTCTTAATTTTCAGCATTTGTTTATAAACGCCACAAATTATTAATAAAAATAAAACCTTTTTTTGTGCTTAATTTCTAGTGTTTGTTTATAAACACCATAAATTATTAATAAAAATAAAACTTTTTTTTGCGCTTAATTTCCGACGTTTAGGTTAAAAGTCATAAATTCTTAATTAAAAATAATAAAAAACTTTTTTTCCACCTCCAACATAAACCTAAAATTCCCCCCAATTCACACCAAATTCACTCTCTCTGGACTGGCTTCTCTTGCTTTCACTCTCTCTCTCTCTCTCTCTCTCTCTCTCTCAGGCGACGACTCCTCGTCGTCAATCTCTCAGGCAACTCCTCGTCGTCCCTTTCTCCGGCGATTCCTCGTCAGCTCTCTATAAGGTGACTCCTCGTTGTCCCAGCCGCTGGTGCCTCCTCGTCGGCTCTCTCTCAGGGGCCTCTCTGATTGTCTTCTCTCTCTCGGTGAGCTCTTGCATCTTCACTCTCTCAGATTGTACACAACTCTTGAAAAATTTTGATAATGATTTTAGTTTCATTGTTCCTTTTTCAGTGCATATGATAGAGCGGCCATCAAGTTTCGAGGAGTGGAGGCAGACATAAATTTTAGTCTAGATTACTATGATGAGGCCCTGAAAAAGGTAGGTAGGTCAATCGAGAGAGAGAGAGAGAGTTTCATCTTATCTTCTTCTTGAGTTTCGTTTGCCAGTTGCTGCCTTCCTTCCATTTCTGCACAACGACACTCGAAATCGCAGGAGGAACGAAAAGCAAAGCGAACTTGGATTGAGCTTCTTCTTCTTCTTCTCTACCTGAAAGATTCTTGGATTGAGCTTCTTCTTCTTCTTCTCTACCTGTAAGATTATCTAAATTTGATTGTTAAAATTTTGTATTGCTTTACAGTTTATCTCGTTGAATTTAGGGTTTCAAAAGTCATAGATCTCGTTGAATTTGCTTTATGAGTTTCTTAGTTGAAATTTGGATTTTTGGAAGCTGCTATGTTTAATGGAATTGCGTTCTACATTTGGCCAAGAAAATTCTGTGCTATATTGTGTTTCCCTGTAAACTTGGGTGTTGCTAATATCAATATACGAATTTTGGATTAGCTCAGTTGANTGAAAGTTCTGTGCTATATTGTGTTTTCCTGTAAACTTGGGTGTTGCTAATATCAATATACGAATTTTGGATTAGCTCAGTTGAGAGATTTTTTGGATCTATTTTTTCGCCTGAACTCTTGAAATTGGAGATCTGGGTTTTGCTTACATGAGGGTTTGGCTTATTATTCCTTAGTTCATGTTTGCTTTGGCATCTGAGATTCTAATCCCTAAAGTTCCTTTTGGATCTATAGCTCATTGCGTGGTAACTCGTAGTCCTGAGAAATCATTTGGTTTCAAATAGAATGGTTTAGTCTAGCAAATTCATCGTGCTTTTGTTTTTTTACCCAATTTGGTCAATGTATGAATGGTTTTTGATTGCATTATATGGTGTCGATTGATCATCACCAGGTCAGGAATATTAAACCAAAAGTGACCGACCTTTCCATGCTTCCTTGTTATTGTGTCCCTTCACTTCCTACAGGGTACTCTCTCTCTCTCTCACACACACACAGAGAATTGTACTTTTTCTTATATATATATGTACCTGAAGGCAGTGATGAAAAGGGGTTATACTATGGGGTGAATCTGAACAAATTTCTTTATTTTGCGAGCACAACTTGGAGGGAAGGACGAACCAGCATCGGAATTGCATAGAGAGGAGGTTTCTATTCCTTCCAACTTGATGACTGGCAATTTTAAGGTAATTTGTTGTGTAGGATAGCAAATACTTAATGCCTTGTGTCAATTTGATATAAGATCAACACTGCATTTGTCAGTATTGATTTAGCTATCATAGGTTTAAGTTATAATGTGAGGTAGGCATGAGAAATAAGTCAACACAAACTCGATTTTACACAACCTCAACTATACACGATTATAAGTAGTAGGCTTGGCTAGTCGGCCTCATATTTAAGGCACCTTTTAGTGCATTTTTAATGTTTCCATTAGGCTTTTATTGTACCCTTATAGGTTGATTGGCTAACATAATCTAATTTCACCTCCAGGAATTATTCAATTACATTGCATTGAAGATAGAAAATTTCATTTCAATAAATACTGTGACTACTTGCGATATGGAAGAAGTACAACAAAAGTTGTGATTTACCATATTATCTCCGGTGGACCAAGCTGCAACATCCTCAGGCATGGCCATTGATTGGAAGAGTTTTTCGGTGGATGAAACAGTTGGGTTCCTTATCCTTCTTTTAGTTTTAGTTTCACTTAATTATTAAAGAGCAAAGGCATGCATCAAAAATTCCCATATCGGATTTGAATATTCCATTGAATTCTACTTGTTTATATATGTTCAAGTGCCAAGTGTGTTTTTTTCAAAAATTCAGTAGGGTAATTCTCTTGCAATGTTTTCTATTGTAGAAAACACATCTTAGTTATTATCAAAGATTACACCTATTTTTGCCTCTTATCTTATGTAGAACCAGCACAATCAGTATCCAAGTGGCATGGCACTTCACAACATAATGAGTTTCTTTGTCACAATAACAGGGAGCTGTGAAGATATTTTTTGTTCTGGAATGGTTGAGGCTTTTGCTCCGAAGAGGTTTTGTCCTGCCATGCTCGAAGCTTTGCTCCTGGACTTGATTCGCTCCTGGACTGATGGGAGTTTTTGCATTATTTTGGTTTATGTTTGTGTTCTGTTCTGTTATGGAAAGGTGTTCTGGCCTTTTCTTTGCTTCTTGTAATGTTTTGCTTTGTGAATAAATAAAATTTTTCTTTAAAAAAAAATGGAAATGTGCCAATCCATTTTACCATATTTTGTCATGTAAGGTATTATTAGTAGATTGACTCTCTATTTTTCATTTGGTGGAGAATCCCTAAATATTTAAAATTCACATTCTAGTAAAAATGCAATAAGCTAGGTTTTATTAAGAAAAAAACATATTAATTATCATTACCGGCGCCGGAAATCAAAAATGATAATTACTAGCGTTTAAAAAAAATAGCTCCGGTCACCAAAATTTTACGAGAAAGTTGTTGATTAAATAAGTGTTAATGTAAACGTCATTTTAATTTTTGTGGCGTTTAATTATACGCCGGTAATTTTTTCAACGAAGTTTTTGGTGTCGTTAATAACAAACGTCAATAATAATATTTTACGACGTTTATTTACATTGACTGGCGTTTATTAAACGCCGATAAATGTCTTTTTTCTTGCGGTGAAATAGGCTACAAAACTGTGGAAAATAAAAAAGGTTCCATGAGTAGGAAAAGGTGTTGAGTACAGAGAATGTCGCTAAGGCCCAGTACATTCGGGTTTGCTTCATCCTCATTTATCTATAAATCCATTTCGAACGATCATTTGAAAATGCATTTTCTATTAATTCATCTCACAAAATTTTCTATAGATTTAACTTCTTTTTAAGATACAATACAACCCAAATTCTACTCATTTACAATAATCAAGAACAGAATAGTCCAAGACCAAAGTCATGCCATTCTGGGTGGGAAGATCATATGATCTCCATTGGAGTAGATATAGTCCATGACTAGCAATAGTAATTGATAGATGAATCAGCTTCCTTTGTTTTGAAATGATAACAATTTAACGTTCTACTTAAAAAATAAATTTACAAATAGGCTTTATCAAAATAGTAAATTAGGCTAGAGTCCCTCCTTTGGTGTGTAAATTAGGTTTAGTCCTAGTGGATTTTTAGTATATAAAAAGGTCCTCCTTATTTTTAAAAATTTTGGATGCTATCCCTATGTTGGTGGGGTTGGACAGTTATTGTATATTTATTATCTATTTTGTCCTCATCACATGATTTCAGCTTAAATTTAAGAGATGCAAGTAATATATGAAATGATGTATGGGTCTAGGGGAAGCCATGGTTGTGACGAGGGCTATGATGGAGAAATGAGCGTGGTGGTGGAGGATCAGCTTTCCTAGTTCTACCTTTCTGATATCCAGTTTGTAGAGCTTTATGGTGATCGAGCAAGTTACGATGATCTTGCTATTATCACTGGTCTTGGAACAATAAATGGCAGAAGCTACATGTTCATGGGTCATCAAAAGGGTAAAAATACAAAGGAGAACATTCAACACAACTTTGGGATGCCTACACCTCATGGGTATGTATTTGGGTGGATGAAATCTTTAATTTTGAATTGTGTCTGATTTTATGTACTTGTGTACATGTGATGGCGTATGTGTAGCTTTTTCAGTTGGTCTGGCGTGTTTAGCCTAAAAACGTCTGACCAAATGACGTATTTTGTGGAACACTATGGCCCAAGCCCAAGACCTAATGACGTTTTTTGGATCATTATGGCCCAAGCCCAAAACCTAAAAACGTCATATGGACTAACGTATTGAGGCAATCTGAAATCGATTTTTCTTCTTTCCTTTCCCTCTTCTTTCCTTCTCTCTTCTTCCTCCAAATTTGTCTAAGCCCTAGGCGAAATCAATCCACCTCCACCACCAGATAGAAATCCCCACAAAACCCACGACCTCCACCCCCAGTTGACATCCCCAACAAAAATCACCACCTTCTCCAACCCACCTCCACCACAGCTAACATCCCCAACGAAAACCACCACCTCCACCAGCCCACCTCCACCACCATCTGACATCCCCAACAAAACACACGACCTCCACCACCAGCTGACATCCCCAATGAAAACCACAACCTCCACCGGCCTCAACATCCCACCTCCACTACCAGATAGAAATCAGTGAACAATTGGTAAGTTTTGAAGCTTTTGCTCGTATATAGGTTAGGCTTATAATATATGTACGGTACATGAACACGTATATATTGGCATTTTGTTCTGAATTTATTTTCAAGTTTCTCTTGGGTGCCTTTATATTTTTAGGTGTTTGGATTATCTTGGACCATGCTTATTCAATCTAACAATTAGGGATTCATTTGTTTAGTTTGAAAACTTAGGGTAAAGTTTGCAGCTCAATCATTGTAACTATTTCTTATTCAACAACACACGTTAATGAAGACCTTACATTGCACTTCAATGCACTGGTGTTTTTGTCACATTCCACAGCCTGTGACTACACAGTAGTTAACTACCATAAACTCAAATACTATTAAACATATCACGGACGTGAATCACTGTGACGCAAGATGAATCAGGGTCTATTACAATCAATGTAGTACATTTCTCAATGTGCAATCACAGTCACTGCGTACCAGTGTTTAGTTACGCTGACAGGTAATAGTGTGTAGTCAGACTTACTGCACAATTTTATTCTTTTACTGTTTGACCATCAACTGGCTACACACTACTGCAATGCTGACAAATATATTTATTTCAGACAATGAGAACCACTATAAAAATATAATATAAGGTGGTTCATATAACATGTATTGCACATTATGTCTACTTCAAGAGCACAAGCAGGTGATACCAGCCGTAAGCATGAACCAGTGTGGCTATTGATAAAATTGATCAATAAGAATCAAGAAGAGAAAGAGAAAAAATATATTAAACTAAAAGCTGGTCTGTAATACACTTCTTAAACCTAGAAATACACAAAATAAGTCTTATATAGTAGGGCAACACAACATAAAAAAAAATGCCTAAATTACCCTTAGTATCAATACTCTAACACCCCCTCTCAAACTCATGATGTGGCGAAAAACATCAAGAGTTTGCCAAGAAAAAAGCAAAAACGTACTATGGTGTGAGCCTTTGTAAAAAAATTTGCTATCTGCATCGTGGAAGGAAAAAAGGGAAGAGTGATGGTGCCCTGCTGCAAATGATGGCACACAAAGTGACAATCAATCTCGATTTGCTTTGTGCGCTCATGGAAGACCAAGTTATAAGCAATCTGAATAGCACTGGTGTTGTCGCAGAACATAGGAGTAAGAGAAGATACCAAAATGCCAAGATCAATTAGGAGCCATCGTAACCAGACAATCCCAACTGTAGTAGATGCCATAGCACAATACTCAGCTTCAACAGAAAAAAAGAGCAACAACAATTTTTTTCTTCCTTTTTCAGGAAATAAGAGAATTCCCAAGAAACATGTAGAAACCAGTGGTAGACTTGCGATCCATAGAGTCACCAACCTAGTCAGCATCAGAGTAAGCCCTGAGTTCCATAGATGAAGAGTGAGAAAATAGTAAATTCTAATGTAGAGTACCACAGAGATACCGAAGAATGCGAAGAATAGCAGCCTAGTGAACGGTGGTGAGTGAGGTAACAAACTGACTCACAATATAAACAACATAAGAGNTTCTAATGTAGAGTACCACGGAGATACCGAAGAATGCGAAGAATAGCAGCCTAGTGAACGGTGGTGAGTGAGGTAACAAACTGACTCACAATATAAACAACATAAGAGATATCCGGACGAGTGACTGTAAGATATACTAAACTCCTAATAATAGTGCGATAGAGAGTTGTGTCAGACAAGGGAGTACCATCAGACAAAAAGTAGCAAACATTGAGCTGTAAAGATGTTTCAACTGTCCGATTATCTGATAAGATAGCTCGGTGTATAATGTCAAAGGCATACTTGGATTGAGATAGAAGATAGCCTTTAGGAGAGGAGGCAATCTCAATGCCCAAGAAATACCTAAGTTGTCCCAAATCCTTTATTTCAAAATGATCTTGTAACTGAGTTTTCAATAAGCATATACCATCAGTGTTATCACCCGTAATAATCAAATCATCAATATATAGTAAAAGAATAAAAGAGCCAAAGGAAGTGGACTATAAGAAGAGGGCAGAATCATAGTCACTGGCGCGAGAATCCAAGTAATAGATAATCGAAGAAAATTTGACAAATCATGCCCTGAGAGCCTTTTTAAGACCATATAAGGCACGATGAAGTCGACATACTTGACCAGAACTATAGGATAATCCAAGGGGAGGTGTCATAAAAACCTCTTCAGTTAAATCTCTATGTAGAAATGCATTTTTCACATCCATTTGAGACAAACTATATTGTCAAACAATAGCAACTGCAATCACAGTGCGAATAGTAGTCATCTTGGCAACAGGAACAAAAGTCTCCTCATAGTCTAAACCATATTCCTGAGCAAACTCCTTGGCTACTAATTGAGCTTTGTATCATTCCACAGAACCATTCGACTTAATTTTTATCTTATAAACACACTTACAACCAATGGTGCATTTACCAGGTAGTAAAAGCACTAGCTCCCAAGCTTTGGTCTTATGTAAGGCAGATAACTCCTCATCCATAGGTTGTTTCCAAAGTGGATCAAGTAAAGCATCCTTGTAGGAGGTGGGTTCAAATAGAAAATGAATAGAAGTAAGAAAAGAACAAAAGTCAGAAGAATAACAAGTATTGCTCTGACCAAATCTGTCTAGACATTTGCGAGAGCACTGAAAATAGCGTGAGGTATGATCTATAGTGTCTGAACCTGATTAGGCAACAGGAGGAGAAAAGGGAGGCACTGCATCTGGAGAGGAGATAATTGGAATCCTGCGAACATATGTATGCACAATAAGGGGACGAGTAATAGACTTATAAGATAAAAGATCTGACACAAGTAAATCACCAACATATGTGTCATGAGGAACATTAGTAGGAAATGGATCAATGTATAACAGGTCAGATTTACTCAATGTGGAAGAACTAAATGGAATTGAAAAGAAGGGAATATGCTCCATAAAAACAACATGAAGAGAGNTGACCAAATCTGTCTAGACATTTGCGAGAGCGCTGAAAATAGCGTGAGGTATGATCTATAGTGTCTGAACCTGATTAGGCAACAAGAGGAGAAAAGGGAGGCACTGC